ACTACCCATAGCCAGCTTCGCGTAATTTAGTCCACCTCGGTGACTGAGCAGTGGCGTAGCAAAGTAAGTAGCCGTATTCCGATTCTGTCGACTTTAACGCCTCAAAAGTACCCGTTCTCAGGTGGACTTAATTCCAGGACTCCGGTCAAGCCTTATTCTACCAAAAGACTACTCGTAGCCAGCTTCGCGGAATGTAGTCCTTGATTGGAGCCTTGATTTCGAATGTCCTGAGCAAAAACGCAGCGACAATAATAATTGCGGCCTTTACGTAATTTTGTTTGTTTTCTTACTGCTCAGGATTGGGAATAATTCCAAGAAGAACATGAAGACATTCCGCCAAGAGGTTGCCTGGCTTATTATTGAAATGTCGCCCAATATGCGCCATCTGTGTGCAATTTGCGGGCGTGATGAGTACTGGTGACCTATTTATGTAAAGAAAATTGATCTATAGGAAATACCAGGTGGCTGATTCACGCCGCGCACTTTTGTACTATGCAACCCGCCCGCACGGCTCCATCCGGGACTGCATACCCACCAGGCGCAGGGGACCGGCTCCGAGCGCCAACGCGTCGCTCCACCACTGTTGTTGGAGCCAACGCCTAGGGGCGTTACTAGGGGTTGTTCGCGGTCTCGCGCGAGTTCCCGCGAGTCCACCGGGGGTAACCCGTGAGTCAGCGGGGGTAACTCGAGGTTCCACGGGGGTGACTCGCGGGTCCGCGGGGGTAACTCGCTGTGCCACGGGGATAGCTAACTGAACCCGCGGCCCGCGAGGTACCCCCTTGGCAGGATCCGCGGACCGCGAGCTACCCCCGCGGATCCGCAAGTCACCCCCCGAGGACCCGCATGTTACCCCCGCGGACTCACGAGTTATCCCTGGCGGACTCGCGGGAACTCGCGCGAGACCGGGAACAACCCCTAGTGACGCCCCTGGGCGTTGGCCCCAACAACAGTGGTGGAGCGACGCGTTGGCGCTTGGAGTCGGGAGTCGGTCCCCTGCGCCTGGTGGGTATGCAGTCCCGGGTGGAGCCGTGCGGGCGGGTTGCATAGTACAAAAGTGCGCGGCGTGAATCAGCCACCTGGTAGGTGTTAAAAAAATTCCATCTTCCGCCACACAGATGATGAGCTGCGTCTAATGCGCCTGGAGAAGATTACTACAATCAGAAGAAAACTCAGATACACCCAAAACCTTGGGAAAAGCTTGGGGGTTTTATTACTTGCAACAAAAGACATACTTTCACCACTGAAAAAGCCGTAAGCCTGCTAATCCGCACAGATGGTTACCTTTCACCGAACAAGATGATGCAGAGGCGGACGACACGGTAAAAATGACATCTTGGATTTCAAGCAATCTGCGTGGTTTTTAAGACATTTTTCAAGGAATCTGCTTGAATTCCAAGATTTCCTTTTTACCGTAGATCCCCCAGCGAAGATTATTGTTCTAGACCAGTCGTCCAGGGAATCAGCATCGCTCAAAGACACCAACCTTGACAT